TTTTTTTTTTTTTTCCTGTGGATCCTGTCTTCAAATGCAGATCTTCTGTTCTCTCAATAGTTGTGGTTGGGACTCAGGTTTTCTACCTAAGTCCCTAATACTTTACACACAGGGCTTGAAACAAAAGCCTGTGTTTCTGCTGGACAAATTCTACTTCCCCTTTTAACATATCCAATCAAGTATCAGCTGAAGGTGGACTTAAAAGCTGTTATCCACTTCCCATAATCATTTCTAATGTACAAGCAGGTAAGAGAACATTCAATACCCATAGTACATTCAGATAAACATGTAATCCAAAACACAATAATACTTTGTAAAATACTCCAGGTTCATCTCTTCACCTTGATTATCTTCCCATTCTATGTATACGACCTTGGGCCTTTGGCTGGTTGTAACCAAAAGCCCTGGCCTCTGGATCAATTACTTCCCTTAATTGGTAACACCAGCAAAAGTAACCATCTAATAATTCAAAATTTCACTTCCCAGGCCCTTTCCTTCTTGCTTGTACAAAGTCCCATGCTTCTATGAATCTGGAGCCACTGCAATGAATCCCACTGCTTCTGACACCAGCTGCTAAAGGGACAAGGAGGCCACATCTTCTGACCACTTCTAACCCCACAAGAGGAAGACAGAATCACCATTAATAGCCCAAGACCTATCCCTGAGAGGCCAGACATGCCACCTCCCTCCAGCCCTCCAGTCCTTTCACCAACCCTGACACCAATTGTTCCTCATGCAGCAACCCCCACCTCTCTGCTGGGTTAGATAATTTTCTGCACTGGGCACACAGAACTCACAGATTATGGGGTTTATTAGGGAAGCAGCAGGCTATAATTCAAGTTCAGGAAGACAGTAAGTCTCTCTCAGCCAACAGTCTCTCTCAGTCTCTCTCCCAACAGTGTGTGTCTCTCTGTGTCTCTCTCCCAGAAGTGCACATCTCTCTCTCTCATGTCTCCCAGCTGGGAGTGAGAGATTCCTTCTGCCTCTAGGAGGGCTCCTTTTGAGCCTGGCAGAGTGACCAAACTAACCAATCCCAACATCAGAAATCTATACACCTGAGAGAGAGTGAACTTCCCAGGAAATTACTTCATGCTGCTCTGAACAGAAATACCCCAGATGGGTAACTTTTAACAATCAGGAGCTACTCAGTTGCTCACAGCAAATTCTATCATGGAGTTTACAAAGACTTATGGCTAGAAAAGCTGTACTATGTAATTTACTACATGGCACTATGGAATGTTAAACATCAATGAAAATGAAATGAACCAGGACTATAGACAACAAGTGGACAAATCTCACAAATAATAATAAGGGAAAAAGTAAGTCACAAAACAATAAACCAAAAAATAAATAAATAAATAGAACTCGTTACCATTGAGTAGATTCCGACTCATAGTAACCCTGTAGGATAGAGTAAAATTGCCCCCATAGGGTTTCCAAGACTGTAATCTTTACAGAAGCAGACTGCCACATCTATTTCCTGCATAGCACCTGGTGGGTTCAAACCACCAATTTTTCAGTTACCAGCTGTGCACTTAACCACTGTGCCACCAGGGTTCTTTCACAAAACTACATACAAACAAACAGTGTTATTCCATTTATATGAAGCTCAGAAAAAGCAAAACTAAACTACATTATTTATAGAAACATACATTACTGATAAAACTTTAAAGGAAAAAAAAAGCAATTATTTTCACAAGAATCTGGATAATGGTACATCTGGAGGTGAGAGGGAAGAGCTGTGATTGAGAGGTAGTATACTAGGTATGCTTGGGAACACAGAAAATGTTCTGTCACTATTGTGTGTTTAAAATTATTCCTTAAAAAGTACATGTCTTATGCATTCTATTCTGTATCTGATATAATAAAAATATATTTAAAAAGTATAAAAACCAATCTACCCGGGGATATAGAATATTTGCAAGAATATATGGTAACTGGTAAGATATCAAGTGTCTAGAATTAAGAGAACAGTCTTTGTGGGTTTAAATATCCATAAATAATTAATGTTTATGGTATTCTACCTCCCCAGACAGACCAAGCAAGGGCAGAGATTACATGTGTTCAGCATAATATGTGCCATCTTCCCAGTATTAGGCACATTCCTGGATTGCAGTAGGCACTTAATTATTGATAAATGAAAACAAACATAAAAGAATGAGGAATTTTGGCATGCTACTAGCTCATATCACATTTTAATGAAAAACAGAAATGTGCCATCTTTGATGATGCAGTCTCCCAGGCACACAGCTTTGTGGCTGGACAGTGCCTTTGTATGATTACTAAAAGTGACACTTTTCTAATATAGAGAGTGTAGCTTGCAAAAGAGAGAAGAAAAATAACAACAAAAACGAAATTCAAACTCATTGCCATCAAGTCATTTCTGTCACAGTGACTCTATAGGATGGAGTAAATAGAATTGCCCTGTAGGATTATAAGTCTTTATGG